ATAGCACAGGGAGCTATATTCAATATCTTGTAGTAACTATGGTGAAAAAGAATATGAAAACAAATACATGTATGTTCATATATGACTGAAGTATTGTGCTGTACACCAGAAATTGACACAGCATTGTAAACTGACTATAATAAAAATATATACACACACACAGACAGACAAAAAAGGTAAATGATATAAACACATCAATAAAAGACAGAGACAGTTAGAATGCACTTTTTAAAACAGATAATCCAGTTATATGCTATCTATAAGGATCTTCCTTCAAATATAATGATATTGGTAAGTTAAAAGTAAAATAGTGGGAAAAGACATACACTTATCAAAAGAAAGCTAGAGTATATTAATTAATATCTTCTTGGTCAATTTACCAAGAAGACATAACAATCCAAATGTGTATGAACCTAACAACAGGGCTGAACTGAAAAAACTTTTTAACAGATTGAACTTCTTCAAAATTAAAAAAAAAAAACTCTAACTCTGAAAGGGACACTATTAAGAGAATGGGGGAAAATGCTACATACTGGGGGAAATATTTGCAAGTTATTTATACACAGGATACCAGGATATAAATCCAGAAAAAATGAAGACATCTCAAAATTCAACAAAATAAGAAAATAACACAATTTAAAAATTGGTGAAAACTTGAACAGACATTATGCCAAAAAGAATTTAGGGAAGGCAGATACACATGTGAAAAGGTGTTCAACATCTTTAGCCATTAGGGAAATGCAAGTCAAAACCATGATGAGATACCACTACAAACCTATTACAGTAGTTCAACTACTAAAACGACATAAAAATGACAATATTAAGTGATGTAAAGATACAGAGCTATCAGTAACTTTAAATATTGCTTGTGAAAATGCAAATGGTACAGCTACTTTGGAAAATATCTGTCAATTTCTTATAAGGTTAAATATACATTTATTATATGACTCATCAGTTGTACTGCTAGGTATTTAGAAAAATGGAAATTTATGTTCATACAAAAATCTGAGTAAGAAAGTTTGTAGAAGCTCTATTCATAATTGTTAACTGGAAACAACCCAAATATTCTTCAATAGATGAATTTTTATATAAATGAGCCAAAGATGACTTCTGTATTGTGTTCCCTAGGTTGTTTATCTCTTTATTGTAGGTTGATACCAAAGCTCAAAAGCCCACCTGCACCTAACTCAAATTACTCATCCGATTATTTTAAAAATAAACAAGCAAATTCTTAGCCACTTAGAACCTGCTTTACATATCCTGCAAAACTGCACCTAACAGATGTTAACTATTGATATGACAGTGCCCTTCACAAGGCCTCAAGCTACTACTGTCTTTTGGGGTTCTCTGACCCAGAGACTCCCTGCTGTGCTGTTGAGCAACATCCACTAGACACATAAGCCCCTCTCAAGCCCCTTCTGCTCTGGGAGTTCTCATGCCTCCTCCCTTTCTGGATGGTGGCCCCCGCACCGTAAGCCTCTGGACAGTCTCACAGCACGAGATTCTTTTAAAGCGCCAACCAATAAAGTGTGCTGTGTGTTACTGCCCCTTGTGGTCAGATCTTTCTCCTAGCACAGCCCTACATACCCAGAACCCTCTACATGAATGGATATGAAAACTGTGGTGCATTCATATAACAGAATACTCCTTAGCAATAAAAGTAACAAATTATTGATGCATGCAACAATTTGAATGCAGAGTGAAAGAAGCCAGTATCAGAAGGTTACATACTATAGATACTATGTACAGGACAGTCTCCAAAAGACAAAACTGTAGTGATGGAGACAGACCAGGTGTTGCCAAGGGTTAAGGACAGGGGAGGGTGTGACTACAAAGGAACAGCACAAGGGAAGTTTTTGAACTATTTTGAATCCTGACCTTGGAGATGGTTACACAAATCTGCAGTGGTGTTAACATTCATAGATCTGTACAACAACAACAAAAAAGCTGTCAAATCCAATGAAGGCAAGGAAATACAATGGAGACAAGACAGTCCCTTCAATAAGTGGTGCTGGGAAACCTGGACAGCTACATGTAAGAGAACGAAATTAGAACATTCTCTAACACCCTATACAAAAATAAACTCAAAATAGATTAAAGACCTAAACGTAAGATCAGAAACCATAAAATTAGAAGAAAACATAGGCAGAACACTCTTTGAAACAAATTATAGCAATATTTTGGGGGTCTGTCTCCTAAAGCAAAGGAAATATAAGCAAAAATAAACAAATGGGACCTAATTAAACTTAAAGGCTTTGCCCAGCAAAGGAAATCATCTACAAAACAAAAAGACAACCTACTGAATGGGAGAAAATATTTGCAATGATATGATAAATAAAGGGTTAATATCCAAAAACAGTATAAACAGCTCATACAGCTCAACCTCAAAAAAAAAACCTGATTTTAAAATGGGCAGAAGACCTGAATAGACATTTTCCCAAAGACATACAGATGACCAATAGGCATTTGAAGATGCTCAACATTTTTAAGCATCAGAGAAATGCAAATTAAAAACACAATAACATATCACCTCACACCTGTCCAAGTGTCTATCAAGAGAAAAGACCTTTCCTCTCCTCCAGAGAGATGCTATCTCTTTTTTATAAGGCTAATTGCTGTTCAAACATCCTGGCAATGCCTCTATTTGCAATAATGTGCAAATATGCAAGAGAACCATGGAGAACTGTATGAGAAACAGAAATTCTAAAACATTTTAAACTGAATACTAGTGAAAATCAGGCATATGGAATTTTGTGGCAGGCAGCTAAAGCAGTTCTTTGAGGGGAATGTATAGATTTTGATGCTTAAATTAGCAAAGAAGATGGACTTTGGAACAGTTGTCTAAGCTTCCACTTTAAAAGGCTAGGAAAAGAAAAGCAAATTAATTCCAAAGGAAGTGGAAATTCTTGTATTTTACATGATGTGAGACACCTGTGATAAGTGAATAAAAGGAGAGAAATAATGACAATAAAGCAAAAATTAATATAATAGAAACATGCAATAAAGAAAATGAAAATAGTCAAAAGTTTAATTTTTTATAGATTAATGAAATTAATGAACCCCAAGCCAGAAAAAAATTATAGAACAAAATTATCAATATGGTAATTGAAAAAAGAGGGTATTGTTACAGACTCCCCAAATATTAAAAATATATGGTGATGTCATAAGCAACTTTAGGCCAATAAACTTGACAACTTAAATGAAATGGAGAAATTCATTGAAAAACATAGCTTTTCAAAATTAAAAAAAAAAGAATAGAAAATCTAAACAACATTACGTTTATTAAAGTTGAATTTACTGTCAAAAGAAAAAACTCCTATGAGAAGAAAACTGGGACTAAAACACAAATTCCTCAATCTGATTAAAAAAAAAATGTCTATGAGGGGGGTGGGGTATAGTTCAATGGTAGAGTATGCTTAGTATGCATGAGGTTCTGGGTTCAATCCAAAAAAAGTCTGTGAAAAACCTACAACCCAAAAAAAGTCTATGAAAAACCTACAATGAAGTCTTTCATAACTGTGAAGAATTAAATGCTGTTCCTTTAAGAATAGAAACAAGACAAAGATAGCCATTCTCACAACTCTCACCATCTTATTTAATGTTGTTCTCAGAGTTCTATCCAGTTCAATAAGGCAAAGAAAAGAAATGAAAGGCATAACTGAAAAAGAGTGAGTAAAATTGTCTTTATTCATAAACAATATGATTATTTCTTTAAGGAAATCCCAAGTAATCTACAAAAAATATTTAGCAGGATCACAAGATACAAGGTATCTTTATTATATAAAAATAATTTGTATTTCTATGTGCTGGAAGCAAACAACTGAAGAATAAGTTTCTAAAAAATCCATTTATAATAATATCAGAAAATGTAAATATATAGGTGTGAATTTGACAAAAGACATGCAAAGGCACTGAAAACTAAGAACATTGAGGAAAGAAGTTAATGTAATATTAAATAAATGGAGAGATATGAAATAGTCATTAATTAGAAGATTCAATGTTGTTAATATGTCAGTTCTCTATAAATTGATCTACACTGTTGATACAATACTAATCAGAATATCCATAGGAACTTTTATAAAAATTAACAAGTTAATCCTAAAATTTATCTAAAAATACAAAGAATCTAGAATAACCAAAATAATCTTAAATGAGAGGAACAAATTTGAAGGACTCTCACCAATTGATTTCAAAACTTATCATAAAACACACAGCAAAAAAAGACAATGTGGTATTGGCATAAGGATAAACAAATAGATCAATAGGAAAGAATAGAAAATCTGGAAAGAGATCTACTTATATTTGATTTGCTTGGTTTTCAATAAAGTACCAAGGCAATTCAATAGGGAAGGGAAAGTCTTCTATAAATAGTGCTGGAAAACTGGATAAGCATATAGAAAATGATAAACTTTGATCTCTACCTCAAAACAAATTTTTTTTCCAAAAAGGGTGATATAAACAAGATTTTTATTAGCGAAGTAAAGAAAAAGGAGTGAAAGATAGTACACTCCCAAGAATTGGGGGCAGGCCAGTCCAAGAGAGGAAAAATGGCCTCAAAACAAAAATTTTTATACACAAAAGTTAATTCATGATGTGTCATAGCCTAAGCATAAAAGAAACTGGAAACTTTCTGAGGAAACATAGGAAAAACCTTTCTGAGGAAACATAGGATAATATCTTCAAGACAAAGATTTATTAGAAAGAACATAAAAAGTATGCACTTCAGGGGGAGGG